GTTGTACACAGATTACACTATGTGGATTTGTACTTATCTTTTTTTAGATTCCTGTTGGTTCTAACTATAGTCATCTGTATTGGAAGCTACCATATGTTGTCAAGTATATTTTCACTTAACCACTTAGAGGTGTATGTAATTAGTTGTTCACAACTACTGTTTCTTTATTTTTATACACTTTACGGTAACAGGGGAAACACCTAAACTTAATATATAAGTGGTTTGTGAAGCGCATATACACCTACTGTTTACAGTTATTATTGTTTGTGAAATTATGGAACAGTCTGGGCAGCTTCTTTTCATTACTAAAATGCACACCAGAAATGCGTGGAGCAAATGGAGGCAGTCCCAGAAGGCGCGCCTGAGATCCGGGAAATGGGAAGTCCGCACACAGCTGTGGAATGCACACCCAGACGGGGTTTGCGTTCCATTGGAATTCCAATCCCACTACTGCGCATGTGCGATCATAATTCTGTTTTGTGGTTCCACATTTTAATTGGGACAGCCTATTTAAGTTGTGAATACTTGTCTGACAGCAAGGGTGTTTGTTAGTACAGAAATACCTTGTCACCAGCCCCCCTCAACTCCGCTCCCCCCCACACACATGGTGATGAGGTCTTTAAGATGACTAGTCCTGTCTCCACAGATCAGGTAGACAAATCAGACAAGGTAGTTGTGGTGAAAGTAACCTCGCCACTGGTTCTTGGAGGGGCCTGCTTGCCAGCCTCTTGCCCCAGGACTATGGCCCCTGCAATAGACTTGGCTAAAATACTTTAAAAAGACTCTGTTCATGCAATTGGGACTATATGGTTCAGTTACCGAACAATCGCACGAACCGGAGACCACCCTGGAGCTTGTTAAGCCTAATTTATACTTTGTAACATTTCCATCGCATTGTTCTAATTGTTCATCTGGGTGGCCGCATTCCTATGGACAACCACGAGGTGGCGGCCATCTTGTTCGCATGAATGCAGGCAGTGGTGTTTGGGCATGAATCTCATGGAACTAAAATCGGACACAGAAACTCCCGAACACCGCTGGACTTCCATCATCGCCTGCATTCGGTTCTATACACTTTAGAAGGTCACTGTTCAGTGGAATCATTTGTGTGGATGAGGGGAACAAGCTCCAGGGTAAGACTATTGACTATGTTCGGTAGTTTGTTCGTTTTTAAACTACCGAACTAGACCGACCACAAGCCTTGATACTATGGAACTGTTGTGGGCATGGGACCATGCGTCTATTTGGTCAAATAAATGATTTCCATGAAATTCCTGAACCCCTGAACTGAATCTTGGTTATTTATGGATATGTTGGTCACCCAGATCAGGGCAATCGGGGGATTTAACTTTTGTGTACTTTTTATGTATTTTTAAGGTATTTTGGGGGTTTTATAAAAATGAGTGTTTTGTGTTTGGAGATAATTTGGTTTAGTAGTGCTTGACTCCATTATCTCCCAAGTACAGAGGAGGGATTATCTGATTATGTATGGGAGTGTCCTGGATCTGAGAGCCAATGTTATTTTGTATTTGTTTATACTGTGGTTTACTTTCAGGTCCAGGGGTGAGTACCCTTTGCATGGGGACTTGTATAAAAGGCCAGTTGTGGCTACCATTAAACAAGTTCCTGCTTACCCTCAACATAGAGCCTCGTCTCATGTGTGTGGGAAATGGCTGAAACTACCCTGGGGATTTCTATATCACTATACTCCTCTGGATTATAATCACTTGCTCTTGTAAGAGCAGCCTGCTACACTCTCTTGGAGGAGAGGTCTACCCACTGGAAGCTGGATCCTGGACCTGGGTCCAGTTTGGGTGGAGGACAGCGTGACCCCAACCAAGCTGTAACGCTGGAAGGGGGGACCACAGTGCTGATGGTGTCTGGTGGAGTGCTGGAAGTACTCGGTGAGCACTAGGAGCAGTGATTTGGTGTAGGGACCAGGTAGGGGTGCCAGGTGGTCCATCACAGTAGTTATTCATACTCCATAGCTGAAGGCATCTTGTAAAACTAAGCACCTAGTCTGTAGTAAATGTTGCCGCCCCTGTGTAAAAATAAAATATGTAATCAGTGCACAGCAAAAGCCTTAGAAAATGCTTGGCAGAAGAGGATGCATATGTTTCCTAACTGGTTCCATGAGAAACTCTACCAAACGTTCGAGACTTTTAAAGAAATAGCAGTTAAATCAAGAGATTCTACATCTGGGTTTTTTCATCAGTTGCCAGGGGCGATCCAGCCAATTCCTGGACCACGGACAGAGCTTCCAGAGTGGCTTTATGCAAGCTTCTGTTGGAAAGGCACAAACTTTTTGGCTCTCCACTCTAAGAGTCTACATAACGATCATACCCATTTATTTTTTTTTTTCTAGCTTTAGCAGGCAACCACAGGATTCAAGGCTCAGTGAGAAGCAGTCTTATAACAGACAAGACAAACAGAGGAAATTATGACACCAGACTAAGAGTGGGAAGAAGATTGCAAGTGTTTATTCAGCAATGGGAGCTGACCATTCAAAATCCTTGGGTTTTAATCACTATCAGAAATGGGTACAAGATAAGATTTCTAGAAGTTCTTTCTTCTCAGTTCCTTTGTTCAACCTACTCCTGTCAGGTAAAGAGGGATACTTTGCTTGCCAAATATATTGTTCTTTTTCGGGAAAGGCATCATAGAATAGGTCCCAAAGAGAAAATATTTCCAAAATATCTACTCAAAACGTTTCTCATATTAAAAGACAATTCCTTCTGCCTGGTCCTGCTGAATTGAGAAAAAAATAATCACATTTTATCCCCTTAACAAGAACACTGTTTATAGGCCAGAAGTGGACTCCATGTCTCTCTCCCTCAAACTCCCTATCAAAAGATTAAATAAATCATAAAGGAGGTATCCGGTCTGCAAACAGGTTCAGTTGCTCAATCAGACAGGCAATGAGCACATTCGGAATTCTCATGTTATATATTCCAACAGTGAGGAGGGCAAGGGTATGAAGAAGACCCCTGCAATGAGAGATACTAAGCTTGGTAAATGGTGGATTTTTTCAGATCATAGTCTCAATTTCTAGCAACAAAAATGTCTCACAATCACCACAGACACTTGAAAACTGGTGGTGGGGTGTTCAACTACATACTTTGTTCTTGCAAGGCAGATGGACAAAAGGCAACACATTCCTCCAACTTCAGGAAAATGAAAGTGGTTCTGAGGGCTTTACTTTCCTTCGAACATTGGATTATAGGAAAACCAGTAAGGATTTAATCAGACAACATCACAGTAGTAACTTACCTGAACAAACAAGGAGGAACAAAAGTAGCAGCACTCTCCTGCCTTTAAACACAGATCATGTCGTAGTCAGAAAAATAACTAAAAGCCATTTTAGCTATTCATATCTGTGGAATATACAACATGATAGCAGATGACCAGAGCAAGGCCCAGTGGACAAAAACAGAGTAGTCTCTAGATCTAAAGAATATCATGGAAATTCGGTCAGTCAGAAATAGATCACGTGGCAACAAGACTAAGCAGGAAAGTGCCAAGAATTGCTTTTCTTTTCCTGACAGATCATCTGAATTATTTAGGTGGCTTTTTTATATTTTAGATTTCAGCCTAGTCTACATTTTCCCTCTAATCTCCTTGATTCCATGTATTTTACCGAAAATAAGAACTGAAACAGATGTCCCGGCCAAGTTGTGAACTTCATTTTGGAGAACCAATTGTGTAAAACAAGGAACTTCCAGTGAAAACACTGCAGATATTCAGACTGACTGACGCATAATCCTTAGGAATCAAGGATATCAATGTATGCTGGATCTCTCATTTTGACCAGATGGTCTACTTCTAAGATTTACTGGAGAATCTGAAAAAAAATTCTAGTCTGGTGCAAAGAACATACCTGCTTCAGTTTTTCTCCACCCTATCAATTTACTCTTAGTTTTCTCCAAGATGGGTTTTCTGCATGTATCAGGTTGGCTACATTGAAAGTCCAAGTATTAGATCTTATTCATTTTCTTCTTTTGGATCTGGCCTCTCACATTTTTATCAGCAGATATTTTAAAGCCGTATGTGTCATAAGGTATAACCGTAACACACAGAGTTTAGGATAGCAAGAGACAGACAAAGGAAATAAATGTATTACAGGGCATTAGAGTGTCTGGACTTAACGTTAGACAGAGAGTAAAGTGTAGTCACAATACAAGCCGAGGTCAGGGTAACGGAGAGACAACGAAAACGAGAACTTAGCTAGAGTCAGGTACACGATAATCAGTCACATAGTCGTGCGCACGGGGTGTGCCGGGTGTGCCTGGGCACACCCTAATCCCGCGGCACGCCTATGTATATTGAGACCGGCAGGGGAGATCTCAGGATCTCCCCTGTCGGCTCATGCAGAGCCGGCGCTATCCGAGCGCCGGCTCTGCTCTCAGCCTCCCTCCCCACTGACCCACATGCAGGGAGGGAGGCAGGAGAGGACCGGCGGAGCTATTGCCGGCAGCTCCGCCGGGTTCCTCTCGCGAGATATGAGCGTTGCCACGGCAACGCTCAAATCTCGCGAGAGTGAACTCTAGCCCCACAGGGGTTAGAGTTCACTCTCCACTGGACCACCAGGGATCACAGCAGCAAGGATCCCCTCCTCCACTGGACCACCAGGACCACGATCCCCCCTCCCTACAAAAGGTAAGAAGGGAGGGGGGATAGCAAATAATGTACCCCCACCTCCACCCCCCACAATCACCCACCCACATACAGCACACACACATACAGCACACACAGCACACACACATACAGCACACACAGACATACAACACCCACAGACATACAACACCCATACACATACAGCACCCACAGACATACACAGCACCCACAGACATACACAGCACCCACAGACATACAACACCCACCCACATACAGCACACACAGACAAACAACACCCACAGACATACAACACCCACACACATACAGCACCCACAAACATACAGCACCCACAGACATACACAGCACCCACAGACATACACAGCACCCACACACATACAGCACCCACAGACATACACAGCACCCACAGACATACAGCACCCATACACATACAGCACACACAGACATACAACACCCACAGACATACAACACCCACACACATACAGCACCCACAGACATACACAGCACCCACAGACATACAACACCCACACACATACAGCACCCACAGACATACACAGCACCCACAGACATACAACACCCACACACATACAGCACACACAGACAAACAACACCCACAGACATACAACACCCACACACATACAGCACCCACAGACATACACAGCACCCACAGACATACACAGCACCCACAGACATACACAGCACCCACAAAGCATACAGCACCCACAAACATACCCACAGACATACACAGCACCCAACATACAGCACCCACAGACATACACAGCACCCACAGACATACACAGCACCCACACACATACAGCACCCACAGACATACACAGCACCCACAGACATACAGCATACACAGCACCCACAGACATACACAGCACCCACAGACATACACAGCACCCACAGACATACAGCACCCATACACATACAGCACCCACAGACATACAGCACCCACAGACATACAGCACCCACACACATACAGCACCCACAGACATACAGAGCACCCACAGACATACACAGCACCCACACACATACAGCACCTACAGACATACACAGCACCCACACATACAGCACCCACAGACATACACATCACCCACACACATACAGCACCCATACACAGCACCCACACACATACAGCACCCACAGACATACACATCACCCACACACATACAGCACCCACACACATACAGCACCCACAGACATACACAGCACCCACACACATACAGCACCCACACACATACAGCACCCATACACAGCACCCTCAGACATACACAGCACACAAACAGCTCCCTCACACACACACAGCACACTAACAGTACCCTCACAAACACAAACAGGACCCTAACAAACACACACACAGCACACTACCAGTACACTCACATACAAACAGCACCCTCACACACAGTACATTAACAGCACCCTCACAAGCGCACACACACACACAAACAGCACCCTCACACACAGTACATTAACAGCATCCTCACAAGCACGCACACACAAACACCCTCACCCACATAGCACACTACCAGCACCGTCACACACACATCACACTAACGGCACCCTCACACAGCACACACAGCAGTGTGTGTATGTGTGTATATATGTGTATGTGTGTGTATATATATATATATATATATATATATATATATACATATACATATATGCGGCGTGTGCTTGTGCTTTAGGGTGCACACCCTAATGCAATAGGCTGCGCACGCCTATGATCAGTCAGATGGGCAAACAAGACAGGCAAGGGTTAAATAGAAACTCAGAGTCAGGAACCAAAGCCAAGGTCAAATACCAGAATAAAATACAATGCAATAACTCAAGGAATGCACTAAAGGATACAGGGAACTGAAATCACAATAGGGCACAGTATCTAGGGCCAGGTAAGTTGAAATATTACTGGATTTCATTTGATTGGTCCATGTCATGCCTGCGCCCCAAAATGTGCGTGAATGGGGGCGCCGAAATGACGTGGGCCAATGGTGTCAGCTCCCTCCCACTTACCTTATTGGACTGCAGATTTGCTGACGTCGGGATCTGTCGGGCTGTCACTCACACGCTGGGAGAAGCTCCACTCAGCCTCAGGGATGCCAGACTCTATGCGCCCGCCCCTTTTAATGACTCGGCACATGCGTGCTGGCGTCATGAACTCAGGAGAGCTCTACACAATAGAGCCCAATGTACACGTACCTTTTGGGGATGTGGTTATGATAATCACATCCCAATTATATAAAAGCCCAGTCTGCGCTCAAAACAGTGCCCTGTTGTGGTTCCTAGTGTACCTTGTGTCACTAGTGTCCCTTTAGTGTGTTTCTGTACCCTTTTGTGATAATTCTTTGGTTTTGACCCGGCTTGCTTATGACTATTCTGACTTCTGGTTTCCCTGACTTGGCTTCGTTCCTCGTTATTGTGTATTTCTGGCTTCCCTTGACCATGGCTTCTGAGGTTTGATGTAGTTATTTTTTTTATCCGGCCATTCTAAGGACTGGCTTAGGGACTTCTGTTTCTATTTCAACTGGTGGTTTTCACTCTGCGTGTTGGGTTATTTATTACAAATGGGAGCCGACCGCAAGATTAGGCTCCCATTTCCCCTTTTAGAACGTGCTTGTGACGCAAGCAGCGTCCTTAATACTGTATGGGGCGTATGCCCGATCATAACATCCTGCCATGAGCCCGGAGTGTTTAAACCGTGTGCGGCTCGAGCAGGGGACCGGTAAGTAGTGCTACAATATGAATTCAATGGACACCATGGAAGTAATTTTTTCTGACATGGAATCTGTCTCTGGTGCTCAACTCCCTTTGCAATTCTCCTTTTGAACCAGTAGACAAAGTCTCTACAAAGATGTTATATTTGAAAACAGCTTTTCTTCTAGCTATTACATCTTCTAGAAGAGTTGGTGAACTTCACCACTTTCCTGCTCTTTAGATTTCACAATTTTCCATCAAGATAAAGTGTTCATCACAAACTTTCCTATATCAAAGTTGCTTTCCAAAACCAACATCAGCCCATCATTGTTCCCACTCTGTGCCAGTCACCCTCTTATAGGTGTGAATAGAGCCCTGGAGATTTACCTCAACTGTTCATCATCATTCACAGTCTTGGGTCACCTTTTTTTTAATCACTTTTCTAGGTGCAGATGAGGGTAAATAAGTCTCCAAGGAAACTACTGCTAGATGGTTGACAGAGACATGGCCTATGAAGTTGCTGGTCAATCACTATCTACTTGCATAAAGGCTAATTTGACTAGAGCTGTGGCTACCTCTTGGGCAGCAAAGACATTGCCCTCTCCTGAGGATATCTGTAAGCAGCTACATGGTCCTCGATCAATACCTATATTTGTTTACTTACCCTAAATATTTTTTCCTTAGTATAGTGGCAGTACAGATGTTGTACCCTGCATAATGAACTATTTTGATATTTTTGCAGTATTTGGTCTCTTGGTTCGTATTTCTTTCTATTAATACTGCTGTTGGGCAAAGCGCTGTTATTTAAGTTATGATGGCGAAGAGTTTTGCCAAATAATTTACATATTTTTTTATAGAGGCATCTCATGCATCCTGAAAGTAAAGCATCCCTCATGTACTGCCTCCATACTAAGGAAAAAATTATTTACGGTAAGTAAAATATCAATTTATTTAAATTTAAATGACTCCTTCTGGTGCTGATACTGAGCCATTTAACTGTAGTGGCCTTGCCTTGCTGAGTCTTTCAGTGTGACTATGTCTGCTGCCTTGCAGACACAAATTGCCTTGAGATTAAAATCTGTTAACAGAGTGTAAAATATGGTGTTGGTTGTTGTAATTTTTTTTTTTATTATAGAAAAAAAATGATACCCGTGACAGGGTGTGGATTAGAGGGTAGGCTGGGTTTAAATAGTCAATGCATCAATCAGATCAGTGTCATTAGATTAACACAAAAAGGTGAATTACTGCTGTTGCCAGAATGATGTATGACCTTTATCTTTTCGGCATAAATATGAACAGAGACCGAGTGGAAGACATCAATAATAGACTTGCGGAAGGTGGAAAAATTGCTTTAGCCAAATCACTTAAAATTACTTTTGGGGGTTCGATAGTTGTCCTGACGGCTCGTATTCAGATCGGTGGCATGCACTTCATGTTACAGCCTTACATGCTGCCTACACACCTGTGTGTGTGTGAGTCCCCCCTGCTGGCTGGCTCACTGGTTCCACCAATATTCAGACAGGCGCCATACGGACAGCAGTACCTGCCACTTAACACCCCCAGCTCTCCATCCCAAAATAGGAATATGTTATAACTAAAAATCTACATGTAGGGCCATATATATAGCTGTGACCAGGGCTGCCCTCAGTGGGTGACAACCCCACATTCCCCATCTATAGTGGCAAAACTGCCACCAGTGCACCTGCACCAGGGCCCGCAAGCTGATGGGGCCCATTGGGTGGCTTGAGCGGCCTAGTCAGCACTGCGGCAGTGTAATAGTGCGACCGGGCCCCTTTAAAAATTGCAGCCGCAAGTAGTGCTTGGGAGGAAGTGATGGCCGGTCATTTCCTCACAGCTTACTCCGCGCAGGAGAGAGGAGAGGTAGAGGGGAGGCATAGAGGAGGGGAGAGCCAGCCGACTCTCATCAGCCTCTGCCACCTTCCTGCATCAAAAAGGTAAGAAACAGGAGGGTGGATGAAAAATGAGCTGTCTGTATATATGTCTGTCTGTCAGTATGTATGTGTGTGTTTGTATGTATGTTTGTCAGTATATGTATGTTTGTCAGTATATGTATGTGTCAGTATACATGTGTGTAGGTCAGGCATGTCTGTGTGTATTTGTGTGTCAGTGTGTGTATTCTGTGTCAATGTGTATGAGTGTCTGTAACTGTGTGCGTATATGTATAAGTGTGTATGTGTACACTGCACACAAATTCAACAACAAACTCATCCTCTGTAATTTCGGTCTACGAGATACTGCTTCTCCGACCTCTCTCAGTGCTCTTTCAGTGTTTTTTTCCCTGGCTCTGCCTCTTCTCCCCAAACCCTCTCTGGTGGTGTTCTCCAATGTTCTGTCCTTGGTCCCCTACTGTTCTCGATCTATATTGCCTCCCTTGATAAAGTCATCAGCTCCTTTGGCTTTCAATATCATTTCTATGTGGATGACATGCAAATCTATCTGTCCTCTCCTGATTTCTCTTAATTTATGTCTTTAACTGCCTCTTTGCTATTTATAACTGGATGGCTGATCAGCTACCTAAACTTAACCTAGTCTTTCCTCCCTCAAGTGTTGCTACTCCCATGTCTGTCTCCCTCCAAGTCAACGGCGCCACCATCAGCTCTTCTTCGCAATTTCACTACCTAGGTGTTCTCTTTGTTTACAATCACTCCTTCACCCTTCATGTCCAGTCAATCGCCAAATCCTGCTGTTTTTATCTTGAAAACATAGCGCACATCCACCACTATTTAACGTTGGATGCAGCTAAGGTGCTGGTCCATGCCGCTATCCTCTCACGCCTTGACTACTGCAATCTGCTTCTCAGTGGTCTTACGTGTTCCCAAATCGCCCCACAACAGTCTATAATGAATGCGACAGCGAGGCTCTTCTTACTGTCTGCCCGCACCTCCCGCACCTTCGTCAGTCCTGCATTGGCTTCTCGTAAGATATACGGCTCAATTTA